GATGCTCCAAGGGCTGTCAAATGCACCAGCAACATTTAATCGTCTTGTGACGCAGTTGAACAGGCCCCACAAGCGTATGCACAGACATACTTTGACGACATTTACGTTCACAGTCGTGAGGAGCACGGGAGGACGGAGTCACATCGCTTATCTAAGAGCGGTGCTCGAGTGCGATGCGCACGAACTAACTGTGCGCCAATGCAGACAAGTGCAGCTTTGGCGCAGAATATTCCCGTTTTAGGGTGCTTCATTGTGATGCGTGGCCTTAAAGCGGATCCCGCTAAGGTCAAGGCCATTGTAGATTGGCCGGTTTCAAAGAACCAGAAGGACTTGCGTAAGAGGCCTGGTCTCGCCAATTATATGCACAAGTACAGCGTAAATTACGCAGAAATGATCCGGCCATTATCCAATCTCCTTAAAAAGGATGCGGAATGGTGTTGGAACACCGAACATCAGGAAGCTGTTGACGGGGTCAAAGACAGCCTCCTGCATGCACCGATACTGGCGCTGCCAGACCCCGATCGTCCTTTCAGCGTCGTTTGTGACGCCTCGGACTTTGTCATCGGCTGTGCACTGTTGCAAGCAGACGCTGAGGGGCGAGATCGGGTGATCACGCTCGAAACTCGACAGCTCAAAGCTGCAGAGAAGACCTTTTCAGTTCATACAAGGAGCTACTTGCGATGAAGTATGCACTTGTCAAGTTCAGGGTCTACCTGCTCGGCTCCAAGCCGTTTGTGATCTATACAGATCATGCGACACTACGCACTGCGACTCAGTTGCCCCACCCCTCGCAAAGGATGGCTAGATGGCTATCCTTCTTTGCGATTATAATGTCGAGGTGAAGTATAAGCCGGGAAAGCAGAATGCTTTGGCTGATGCGTTGTCATGTAGACCAGACTATGAGCTTGCTCATGTTACAACTGTAATGTCGTCTGTGACGGATTTGATCCGCACCGCGTATGCAGGCGGTGGGATGTGTGTAGCGCTGCTACGGGCTCTTGGGAGCAAGGGGTTTGGAGACTCGGACAAAACATTGTCACCAAGACTGCGTGCACGATTGCAACGATATTCGTTGAATAACGGCTTGCTACATTATAGCACCGATTCAGCGGATACACCACGAATTCTGGTACCTCATGATGAGAATTTCGAATACCGCAGTCTCCAGAGGCTTATGACACACCACTCTGTGGTCATCTCGGTCATGAGAAAACGTACAACTCTGTGAGTCAGCACTGTTGGTGGTCA